ATGACATGCTACGTGGCAATGCACACCTGTTTTTACATCGTAAAAACCCATGTCTATTTATTATTATTATTATTATTTTTTTTTGCAGGAAACTCAAATTCTGTAGTTAATTACTAACGTTGGCTCGTCAGGCTTCTTAACTTTACAAAGAGCAGGAAGTGGAGTAAAATGTGCTACAAGCGGAAACAACCACGTCCTGTCAGGCAGCGGGCCCAGCCAGAGCCAAAAACCCCAGTCCGGTCTGATGAATCTGAATTTCTGCTGAGGCTGCAGATTCTTATCTCCAGACTGAATCCATGAAACAAAGCAGAMCTGAAACCTGTTAAGTTGGACTTTTATTTGCTTCTTTTTACGCATCAAAACATTTATATTAGAAAAAATGTATTTATTTGTTTTTCTTGATCAGTTCTACTTCCTGTGATTTAAAAAAAAACTTTCCTAAATGTTGAAAGTTAAATTAGTTTATTGCCAGCGTTTTGGCCCTAACTGCAGAGGACGATGTGACACCTGGATTTGTCGGGTGTACCTGTCCGTGTGAGGGAGGGGGCTGCCCGTCGAAGACACCGAGCACGTGGAGCCGAAGGTCCGCTGACAGGAAGCAGGGGCGACCGGCGACCCGTCCCCGTGGTTCATCCCGTCCAGGAAGCTCCGGGAATCTGAGAACAGGAAGTAGAGGTGATGAAGATGAAGATGACCCTGGAACACTCTRAAACAAAGAGGAAGTGCTTCTTTTTAAATGATCTTCACCTTTAATATTTTCTCCCTACATCTCCGTTTTTTTGGATAAATAGTCGCAGATCCTGTTTCCGGGCTGGATCAGAACCTGGCGGTCCGGAGGACGGGCCTCCTGGACTCTAAAGGACCCTGAGCCAGCGTGAAAACAGTCCATCATTAGAAAGGACTCGTTGTTTTGGTTCCCTCCCTCCCTCCCTACATTGAGGGCGCTCGGAGGAATCCGGGCCGAGCCACCAGCCTTTGTTTGTGAGCGGACAGGCGACGTGTGTCGGTGGAGTCCACACGTGCTGAATAAAACTTCGGCTCATATAAACTCTGAAAACATTTAATGTGTGATGTTGTGAAGCATTCACATTATTGAGCTGATCCATTCTTCCTCTTTTTCAGGATGTATCTTGTTCCTGAATTTAAACAGCTTTTTCTATCAAAACGTTTCGGCTCCTTCGGGACACTTTGGCTAAAACTGTTGTTATTTCAGTGGTTTGTACTTTATTTAGCTTCTTTGACCTTGTTTTCTGATTGGAAATGTCTGAAGCTCAACATCCTTAAAAMCTTTAAAAWGTTTATAAACTTTTACTACACTTTTCTTCTGGTTCTGCTTTTTTACCTTTGTTGTGATAATTTCAGTGTCTTTTGTTCAGTTTTAGTCATTTCTGTATTTTTAGCTATCTTTCTGCTCTTTTCAGCAATTTTGTTGATTTAACAGTTTTTATACTTTCAGCTTCTTTTTTCCTAATTTAAGCATTTTTGGCTTTCAGCTGTCTTCTGCAGTTTAAGCTACTTTAGCTATTTCAGCTAATTTTTGAATTTTCTATTTGTTAGCTATCTTTCTGCTTGTTTTTAGCTAATCTGCTCATGTCAAGCTTTTTATACTTCTATCAGCTTTTTTCTGTTAATTTGAGCTTTTAATGCTGTTTTCAGTTGTTTTTTGCTATTTAAGCTATATTTTAGCTATTCCAGCTAGTTTGAGCTGTTTTTCTGCTTTGTCTCTGGGCTTTTTAGCGAATCTACTGAACTAAAGTTTTCTGTACTTCTGCCAGCTTCGTGTTGTTAATTCAAGCTTTTTATGCATCTTTCAACTGTTTTCTGCAATTTAACCTACTTTTGAGCTATTTCTGCTAATTTAAGCTTTTTTCTGAGATTCTCTGCCCTTTAAGATATCCTGCTGATTTAAACTTTTCTGTACTTCAAACTGCTTCGTTTAGCTAATTTAAGCTTTTTATTCTTCTTTCAGCTGTTTTCTACAATTTAAGCTACTTTTTTTTAGCTATTCTAGCTCATTTTTCAGCTTTTTCCTACCTTGTCAAATATCTCTGCTCTTTTCAGCTTTTCAGCTGAACAAAACTTTTCTGTACTTGTATCAGATTCTTTTTGCTAATTTAAGCTTTTTATGCTTCTTTCAGCTGTTTTCTACTATTTAAGCTACTTTTTTTAGCTATTCTAGCTCATTTCAGCTTTTTCCTACCGTGTCATATATCTCTGCTCTTTTCTGCTTTTCAGCTGAACAAAACTTTTCTGTACTTGTATCAGATTCTTTTTGCTAATTTAAGCTTTTTATGAGTCTTTCAGCTCTTTTCTGCAATTTAAGCTACATTTTGTTAGCTATTTAAGCTAATTTTTATAT